ATCACCGTGTTGATTTCCGAGAAAAAATGGCGTGTGTGGTGGGACTAGTTCACTCAGCAAACAGGTCACGCGCTATTATTTACACTTTTACGTTTCAGAGATTTTATTACAAAAATAAATCTGTTTTTTTTATAAAAACGATTTTCTCTCGTCAGCTGAAGCATGCGCTAAGCGTATGGAAACGCCCAAATGGAGCCGTTTCTGTTCGGTCTGTTACAATGATCTCAAGCGGTCCATAATTTTAAAAACTACGCGCTGTATGCATGGGAGTCATACCGTTAGGTTTCTGATCTCGTTGACTTTAAAAGTGACTTTTATTAGATTTTACTAGATTCGGCACAGGATATAAGAATATTTAATTCGCGGGTTCTACACCTTTCTTCTTGCTGATATCCACATCTTTATCTTGAGTGCAGTTGGGCTGTCTTTTTGGTCGGAAAGTGATTGCCTGATGGTTACCAACGCTAGAGCGAATTTCTCAAGAAAAATCCTCAAGAATGAGCTGAAATTCGGTGCCCATCAGTTTCATCTTTGTGGGAGGCTTTTATTGTATCTTTTATTGTATACCGGAACATAGGATGTATTAGTTACTCCGCGATTATGTGGCAATCGATCTCATTGGTAGGCAATACATCTTCGTCGCAAGGGATCTACGTTTGTTCTAATGCGGCGGAGTTACACATCTGGAACGCGGGCTAAGCAACGGCACCGTTGCAAGAGTGTGGACGGAGAGAAGTGTATTTATCAACGCAGGCGCAAGTTTGTTGATACAGGGCTCCGAGGTCGAAGTTTTCCATGGAACCATTATTGGTTAATACTTATATACAATTTGGAAATTTCGTCCCAATAGTCACTCGCCTTTCAGGGTACTGTTCTTCCCGTGTGGACAGATCACTTTAAAGGATTAGTCCTATGGAAAGGACTTTCCGCTAAAGTACACTCTAAGGGAACCACTGGTTTTACTACTTAATTGTGAGGTACTTAATTGTGAGGACAGGTTACAGGAACGCTCAAAATTAACATGCACTTGGGAGTGAAGTCATCCTGCCTATAGAGCTCTTTATGTTGTATGAACCCTGTGATGAGGCATCGGAACAAGATTGGCTAATTTATGTACAGAGTACCAAATCTACATTGGGTGTACTTTAAGGCACCCTACGTCACGCCACTTAGTCGTTATCCATTGTGTTTGTCCGCATGCACTGATTCCAAACTAGTCTGTTCTGTTCAGTAGTGGAACTGGGCCGGCTTGTTCAACAGCTCAGCCCACTGTGTGTGTGGTACTGAGCGTTTTGCCTAATTTTGCACCGTCTGGTTGATGGCATGTCATCGATAGGCCCTAAATGGAAAAGTACAATGGTGCGGCATCACAGCAATGCACAATGTGACCTTAACTGAAAGGAACCATGTGATGTTATCCCAACGGACTGCTTACTGAAGTACATTTATAATACGGGAATGTTTATATAGTCCGTCAGTCAAAAGGCCAAATGAAGTACATTCCAATCGCTTCATGAACGACTGCCTGCATTTTTACAAATTACTGATACCAAGAGAGTTGCAAATAAAGATGGGTGCTAAACAAATTTGTTTTTTGTCTACTAATGAGAATTAGTAGTTGATTTCGACGGGCAGTTTTGAGTTTGTGCGGTTGTTTGAGCTGTCTAAGCCGGAGGCCAGTGGCGGAAAACGTAAACGTCACAAACTGTGGCAAATCGCTCTGACCCAGAAAACTTGTTCACATATCATGCTCACCATCTAGGTAGTAAACAGCAAACAATCTGCGAATAAAGTAAATCTGGGTTAAAATGTCGAAATGATAGCCATCCCAATGTTGTTGAGTCGCAAACTTCACACGTACAAAGAGTTTACAGACAGGTAGAGGATGAACACGATTGCATTCGCGCTTTTGGGAAGTTGGCTGCCTACATGTTCACCAAGGTGAGAAGCAACTTGGTACCCTGTCGCTTCGGGGAGGTGACATTAGTGCGCGAACCCACCTATCAAAATTTCAGAACGATTCATACTTTTGTTCAATCTAATTTGACCTTATGATAATTCCCCCATTCATTTGCTTACTAAGCCCATGTACTTTTGATCTCCAGTTGTTTTGCTTATCCGTACCCGCCACTCACCTTGCTGCAGAGGCCGTCCTGTCCGACACTTGTGTATTGACCTGTGTCTATGGCTGAATGTGGGCGTCGGACCTACTTACCCATGCGCGATGATGTACCGTTGGCTGAGCCTGGCTTGGCTTGTTTTCTCACGAGCCCCGTGTGATTGCACGCCCAATGAGAATTACGAGACTGTCGTCGGAAGGGACGACCGCAACCCGTGCTACTGAGCCATCATTCCGCTCGCCGTTGTTTGGTGTGCGGTCGTTGACGCTGCACTGTGCCGGTCAGGGACAGACCCGTGAGCTTGTTGATGCTACGAACGTGAACCATTGGGGTTTATTGCACACATTTGCTTACCCTTGTGTAGAATTACGAAGTCGATTCTCCCCTTTGATATTCAGGATCGTCGAACTACATGTCACTCAAAGTTCCGTATCGGGAACCTCAACAACCATAGCATTCAGCCGTCAATGAATGTGCATAAAACAAACATACTGGTTAATTAAAACGCTTGCTATGCCTTGTAGTGAGTTAAACTAAATGAATCAAGCATTCAACAGCAGTCATTATGTTTCCAGCTGTATCTCGTATGAACATACACTTTAACAGTTGCGGGTGAAACTCGGCTTCGAGTTTGCTAAACAGATGGTAGTGAATAGCATGAAAAGTTTAAAGTCAGAACGTAATTCAGTGGAACAAGAAGTTAATAATCGACGTTTTGGTTGGCGTGGCCAACCTTTTTCAGGGATTTCTGGAATCGATTGAATACGGGCAAAGTGCAGCATCAGTTGCGTCTGCTATTTAGTGATTGGTCTACCCATGAGATCAGCTGACAGCATGGTGCGACCAGCGTGCGTGGGTGTATGTTAGCTAAGTGTGTGTATCCACGTGATTATCTGTCCGTTGACTGGGATGTGCCTACGCTTGTGGTTTTGTTGAAATTTCCGCCTCGTCAATGGTCACCAGGCCTGCCAAAGTGTGAAGTAAGTCCAATGCGGATGGACGGGAGTCTTCGCATCCACACCGCGTCAGACGCGCAGTTGTCGGGCAGTTGGCAAATCGTACCAAGAAACTATGCAGGTGTGAAGTAAGTCCAATGCAGATGGACGGGAGTCTTCGCAGACACCTGCGTTGGACGCGCAGTTGTCGGGTAGTTGGCAAATCGTACCAAGAAACTATGCACGGATGATTTCATACCAGCATATGAAGTGAAACGACCCAGTAAGGTATCAAAGCAAAATAAATACCCCATAGCGCTCGTTGCCTAACAAACGAGGAGAGTCCCACTTGGAACGGTGAGACGGAAAGACAAAAATCCGGAGTCACTGTGGGAATACCTGACAGAGGTTGCACATTAGACGTCATTCGAATGATGCTTTGGAATCTCGATGGTGGAAAATGCTTCCGCCTTGATGACATCTTACAACGACACCTCGTAAGGGCCAAAGACCCTATAGACAGAAACGCCGCATAAACTGCGTCCATTTAACCTTGAATAGAGAATGTTTAACCAAATACAGTTAGACAGCCAGACATTTCCGTGTGCTAAGCAGGGAGGACAATATACATTTTCCTCCACGAAATCCAACCCAGTTCAAAAACTTGAAGGTGACTCGGTTAATGCGCTCCAATCATTTTAACCGACCCATCAAACTAACTTCGATTGAACACGTGCACTTCAGTTAGAATTTCAGTCATAGGTGGAACGGCCACTGGAGATCAGCACACAACTGAACTGCGTCAACCGTAGTGACAAAGCGAGAATCCCGTCTGCCTGGCTTGTAATTAATGCACACCTTAGCAGACACAATGACCACAGGCGAAGCGAGAATCCCAATCATGACGCATCACGGCCAAAATAACAGCAAACATGAATATGGTCGCGACCGAATGGCTTGGCCTTAATTTAATAAAGCCCGATTAATGCAAGGGGATTCGTGATTCAAGGCTTCAAGAGCCCACACTTGGATTTATTTTGGAGACTACAAATAATGCTTAGCACAGCACTGCTTCAATGACCGATGCTGTAGAAGTGCTTCAAATTGCGATTCTCAGTCAGACGGTATGATACTACCGGCCACCAATGAACACTACGAGCACTTGCGTACGCAGAACGCTGAACATAAATCTGACTACTGATAAAATAGAAGTAGCAGAAGAAAAGTGCCCAAAGTCAATCGCTGTAGGAAACGGACGTTATTGTGAACAGCTATGGAGACCTGCAGCAAGATAAGCAGGGTCAGCAAGGATTGGAAAAGCGGTGTATATCAGTAGGACGCGTGGCGCTTCAGATTTCTCAGCAGATTCCGCCACGAACTTTGGATTTCATTAGCAAGCCGAATTAATTAGCACTAATTGAGATGTTGTATAGGACGGCAACAAAGCACTTTCCTTATGAAAAGGAGGTTCCGAGTTGAGTTTCATGGACACACGAATCCTCATCACTAGTATCCTTCTTCCGGACTCACATACCAGTCTCAATGCATTGCTCGAACCCCAACTGGATGTTCTGGTCAACAACGGTAAATACACTGTCTGTTTGCCCACAATTGGACAGCGTGAGATGGATTGTGTTTGTTGAATCTGATGCCAATTACCAGCACTTGAAACCGATCAAGGCCAGAAGGAACAAGATCGTCGAACGATTGTGCAAAGGCCTGTCACAGGCCATCGGCCGGCCTCACAGTGATGGTGCAACAACAGGAGCTGGCACCAGTCATTTTTTCTGTCGTCGAGGTACCGCCGTATGCCATATATTCATAAAAGTTTTAGTGTAAAGCACACCTCTTACTGTGTGGATTCATCCATATATGACTGGGAGCTGCACACAGACACCCAGTGAAAGTGGTAGCGGTTAAACTCATCGTGTTGAATCAAACAAACTGTTACTGGTGCTGTCGTCCGTAGGATTATAATGCCGGACAGCTGTTGATTGGGAGTTTCGTCAAACTGATCTCTGTTCCGAGTAGTTATTTTGGTCGGGTGGACCAGGATGTCTACTGGCGCACCAGTGGATACTACTGATAGAACATAGGAGTAGTATGTTTTCTCGTAAATCCGCTTCGCATCTCTTGAGAAGTGAAATCCATTATGGAATTTGTGGAGTCACTTTGTAACACTTGCTTGCATTTGAGTAACAGTCAATAAATATCCAGAAAACTTCATGAAGACGCATTCAAGGAGAAGATGGATATTCAGTTTTTGTAAACAAGATGCATATGAGAGTTTTTTCTCCTGTCCAATAGTTTGTAACTGTTCAGTTGGTGTTTTCAATAAACAACTCCGTAGTAAAGGTCTTCTTCCTTTCGCAAGTAATTTACAAGGCTGTCACTACCAGACCATATGCTTTAGCCTGTTGTCCATCTCAATCTGTTCTAGGATGCACTAGAAAGCTTGATACCTTTCGAGTAGTTCGGTTATTTTGCAGTATCGTGTGACTCGAGTCTCATTTCGTTCTTGTGGATAGCGTTCATGCAATCCACTTCATCCAGAGGTCTGGATGGGAAGTCGCAATTTTTCAAACTTACTTAAAGCTAGTTCAAATAGCTAGCTTTTGTTTGTGTCCAACTTTGGACTCGATGGTTTAGCTGGAGGCAAAAAATTTGTTTTGGGGTGTCAGTTTTGGCCTTTTGTTTGGATTGACTGATACCATCGGTGTATAATTATAATGCCCTATGTGGAAGCACTGTACTCTATGGTGTAAACAGAAGTAATATAATGATTTCTGGTTTTTAGTCCTGAATTGTGCTGCGTCCTATTAATTCTAGGGTCTTGAAATCACAGTGTCATTCGGCCGATATTTCAAGTAAATTGATGTTTGCGGGTTAAAACGACGGTCTTGTGATGAAATAATCAACTCCTCTTTCATGTGGACGACTTCAGAAAAAAAGGACTATTTAGTAACAATTTATCAAATGCTTCATGACAAACGCGGCCACTTTCGTTGAAAGATGCATTTCTTACGTGGATCCTGCGCGGTGGTTACTGAAGCTCAATTTCAGTTCTTTTTTTGGTAACCCTTCAACAACAGTCGAATTCACCCACTGATTACATTCTTCAGTGAACTGCGGAGTCCAAGCGTTTGAATACCCACAGACGGTTGAGTCGAGTTTGAGTACGCTAGCATTCAGGCTGAGACGATGCAGTCGTAGCAGCCTGAGAAATTTTCAATGCTCAACTGGTTTACTCAGTCGGGATTGCCATTGAAGGAATTTCAAACAATTAGTTTTCGTACTACGCTCTGTAGACGGCTCACGTGAAACATGTTTATCGCCGTGGCTTAGCTAGATCTAAGTGCAAATCAAACAGAACCAAAATCTAGTGGTGTATGTCCGAAAATTAGTTGACTGGAAGGATGATTTATATCATGTGATGAGATTCACTGGTCGATGGATTACACGTCGAATCAAATAAACACGGTAAATCGCTTCAGCGCACAAAAGTTTGAACTGCATAGTCTGACAGTGATCAGTGCAGGTTCGTATAACGATGAGCATGTTGCAATTTCCGGTCAGTCACTTGGATCCCGACAAATTGTGCGTTCGGTTGATCAGATTGGTTAGTGGGATACAACCAGTAGTTATTTCTACATCAACCTTTCACCTTACTCCCCTATTGCCACTCCGGTAGATGTTAGATGCTACTCTTTTATATCCTGCGGCAATCACCAAACAGGGACGAATGAGCCCAACTATTTGACTAGAACACCAGTTATGAGCCAGAGAAATAATTCAAGGCTGCCACTGAGCATGGGGGAATCGTAACATCGAAGGCCTCGCCATTGACTATTGTTCCGCATTAAAGTTCTCTGGCTGGCAAAGTTATTTGAGGCAATGTCACCCCTAAAAAGGCATACATTTGAATTAGCCTTTGATCCAAAGCTTATATTCGTGGAAGGAAGAAGGCCTCCGCTGTGGAACTATTTATCGGACAGAGAAGCAAAACTCTCATATACATCTTGTTTATGAAGAATGAATATCCGTCCTCTTTTCGAACGCGTCTTCCTAAACTTACCTGAATGATCGTTGACTATCACTCAAATGTAAACGATTGCTACAAATTAATTTCACGAATTCCCTACTAAATCTTACTTTTCAGTACACGGAACGCGAATCTATGAGAAAACCACCTACTACTTGCATGCTTCATTAGTAGTATCTACCGTGACAATTGTAGTGGTGATTGTGCCTCACTTGTGAAACAGTCGTGTGGCTCACGCTGACCAAATATTAATATCTTAAGTTCCAGGCGCGCAAAGAAGTCCAACGCGGGGTAGTCAAACGAAGAGAGTGTGGAGTTCCGGTATCAAGATGGTCTGGGCGTAAATTCGCAGTGAAAGAATGTGAGAATATTAAAGGTTGTGCTCCAGGCACTCGGTATTGTTATATGCATGGGAGTGGTAATGCCGCCTATTAGGAGAACCAGCTTTGAACGTGACGGAACTACATATAAGCCAATGGAATAACCGTTTTCGTTGAGAGAGACTTCATTGGCTGTTCTTCACTCGTCCTTGACAGATGAGTTGTATTCTCAGAATCACTTTTTTTGACCTGCTTGTACGCGACAGGGGTCAATAAAGCAGCTGGCTCGCACGTTTATTGACTTTTCTGGTTTGGCCAAGTGCACCAGGCGGTCAATCGGCTATCCAGACCGGAGTTCACGGTAATGAGAAGGCATTAATGGACTGTGGTCCGCCGTACCTCGAGGAAGGACGGATTACAAAGGTTCCACCGAAAAACTCGCGCATAGGTTAGTTCCATGGTTGTGGTTAGTGTAACATTAGCTACTAAAGTTGAGCTCTTTTCGGGAATCGAGTTTCAAGTGCTTTTCGGAAATTATTGACAGTGCGCGGTGGACCAAATCTTCGCATAGTCGTGCCTCAGGATCTGCGATCTGACATCCGGTGCCCAGGAGCTTAAAGCTAGGGTTGGATCAACTGAAATAATTTCCCGTTTTCGGATACAGTAAAGAGCCTTAACTTTCTGCAGATGACATGAAACAAAGAGAGGTACAAGGGTACTTACTCTGAGGCTTAGAAGATGTAAAATGAAGTTTCTTTCTGGGATATAAATAAAGGAGGTTGGTCTGTGGAGAACTGATTGTTGCAGGGAAATTGAAACACTGCTGGTTTCAGGGCGACTTGGCTAGCTTATCGCGAAATAGTGCAAAGAGCTGGCTTCGATTATACCATCTACTGGGGCACACAGCTATGAAACGGAAAAAATCCGCAATGAGCTGTCGGAACTCATGAGGAATTTACATTCTTGTGATTCGCTTTTTATGTTGGGGAATCACAGTGATGGGGACGATAGGGACTCGAGAACCCGGATCAACGTGCACCAGAGATAAGGGGTTGCTCACAATATACGCCGTATTTGAGTTTTCAACGACATGTTACGATATGGAAGAGGTACCGTATACCACCCGAATTCATTCAAACAGCGGACACGGATACATACTTGACTGTGTGCTTATTCAACGAACATGTCTTGTATGATGAACTGGTCATGGAAATGAGGCATGGAACCGGTTCAAGAAACGAGTCTTTGATGAAACCAAATGCGCTTGAATCAAAAAATACATCCCGCACTGCAAGATAAGCTGGCTCGCCCATACGTTGCGCATGTCGACCGTTCGCCTGCCGATTTCCATGTCCAATAAGAATCCCAGAGGTACAGAGAACTTGACATTGCAAGAGGGAGTGATCAACTTCACAAAACTCTTGATTACCGTTGGATCTGTCCTTCTTCCAGAGTTGGGCATACGTAACCCTACGTGAGCCTGGCTTGACCCAGTAAACGGTGTGGCGGCTACTCAATGCCAGTGGCGTTGATAATTTGTAGTTTATAGCTTATAGTTCAGCCTCGATCATTTGGAGTTGAACAGCATGTCGAAGCATATGCCTTGCTAGTAAGAGCCTTGAGGATTACCAGTGGACTTCCCGGTCCACCTGACCAAAATAACTACCCGGAACTCATGTCAATTTGAACTATTTCCTAATCAACAGCTGTCTGGCGTTATCATTTCAAGGATTAAAATATTAATGTCAGTTTGGTTGGTGGGACATAACAAGTTTGACAGTGCGCGGTGGACCAAATCTTCGCATAGTCGTGCCTCAGGATCTGCGATCTGACATCCGGTGCCCAGGAGCTTAAAGCTAGGGTTGGATCAACTGAAATAATTTCCCGTTTTCGGATACAGTAAAGAGCCTTAACTTTCTGCAGATGACATGAAACAAAGAGAGGTACAAGGGTACTTACTCTGAGGCTTAGAAGATGTAAAATGAAGTTTCTTTCTGGGATATAAATAAAGGAGGTTGGTCTGTGGAGAACTGATTGTTGCAGGGAAATTGAAACACTGCTGGTTTCAGGGCGACTTGGCTAGCTTATCGCGAAATAGTGCAAAGAGCTGGCTTCGATTATACCATCTACTGGGGCACACAGCTATGAAACGGAAAAAATCCGCAATGAGCTGTCGGAACTCATGAGGAATTTACATTCTTGTGATTCGCTTTTTATGTTGGGGAATCACAGTGATGGGGACGATAGGGACTCGAGAACCCGGATCAACGTGCACCAGAGATAAGGGGTTGCTCACAATATACGCCGTATTTGAGTTTTCAACGACATGTTACGATACGGAAGAGGTACCGTATACCACCCGAATTCATTCAAGCAGAGGACACGGATACATACTTGACTGTGTGCTTATTCAACGAACATGTCTTGTATGATGAACTGGTCATGGAAATGAGGCATGGAACCGGTTCAAGAAACGAGTCCTTGATGAAACCAAATGCGCTTGAATCAAAAAATACATCCCGCACTGCAAGATAAGCTGGCTCGCCCATACGTTGCGCATGTCGACCGTTCGCCTGCCGATTTCCATGTCCAATAAGAATCCCAGAGGTACAGAGAACTTGACATTGCAAGAGGGAGTGATCAACTTCACAAAACTCTTGATTACCGTTGGATCTGTCCTTCTTCCAGAGTTGGGCATACGTAACCCTACGTGAGCCTGGCTTGACCCAGTAAACGGTGTGGCGGCTACTCAATGCCAGTGGCGTTGATAATTTGTAGTTTATAGCTCATAGTTCAGCCTCGATCATTTGGAGTTGAACAGCATGTCGAAGCATATGCCTTGCTAGTAAGAGCCTTGAGGATTACCAGTGGACTTCCCGGTCCACCTGACCAAAATAACTACCCGGAACTCATGTCAATTTGAACTATTTCCTAATCAACAGCTGTCTGGCGTTATCATTTCAAGGATTAAAATATTAATGTCAGTTTGGTTGGTGGGACATAACAAGTTTATCCGCCACCACCTTCACTGGGTGTCTGTGTGCAGCTGTCGGTCAAATTTGTATGACTCTATACAGGAGGAAGTATGGTTTTACACTGAAACTCAGGGGAATTAGTGGGAAATGGCGCTAGCTCGATAATGAGCAAATGACTGGCTTCAAAACTGGTTGTTGTGTCCTTGTGATCAGACCGCCTGATGGTTTCTGTACACTCGTTCGCCGGTCTTCTTCGCTGGGGTCTTGCTGGGCGTCAGATGCAGGTAAGCAGCATCAAATTCGGAAAAGCTTGTCGTGCGAGTGCGAGGAATTAGCCACCGTCGCTGACCAAAAGTTTCGGCTGGTACTTTGGGCACTCAGCGAAACTGGTGTGTTTAAGCGAGAGTACGACAGCCTACTGCTAGTGATGTGGGATGAAATCTCTTCTTTCCGTAAAAGATTCACAAATGAACAGCGGTGGACCTTCAGCAATAGTTCAAGGATTCAAAAATTGTCCCGAACGTAGCCGGCTGCTCTTTGGACTGTGTCTTTTCTCAACTAGGGCCTTCAGCTCGTTCTTGCTTCGTGTGGCATGACAGTGGTCACTGTAGGTCTGTTATAGTTAAAGGACATCTTTACATTGGGATCAAAACATCAGAGGCAGCCGTAACTAATTATCTTAACCAAGTTCAAAGTCAGATGCAGCCGGTTTAATTTAATTTATCCGCTTCCTGTATTTAAAGACTATATGCGCGTAGGTGTGCAACCACTTCGAATGTGCATTATTATTTCATTAAAATATAAGTGGCTGTTTTATCGATTTGATTCGTTTCTTATATGGGCTAGCCCAACACGCAAACATGGGTGTGATGGTCAACCACCTCCCAAGTGTTTAGGTGGAATCGAAGTCACTGAACACGATGTCTGATTTTACGGCAGCTTGCCTTGTCCCAGTATAGAAATGCCTGAAGTACTCCCTTTTTATCAGCAGTGCCAAGGAGTTAACTTGATGTACAAAGCACTCAGACAAGTAATTTTGAGGCGTTTTTGCAAACCATTCTCATCGCCATCATAATTATCGTTGGTAGAGAAGTAAACGCACGAATCGCCAAAGATATAACGGCTTTCTGTCGTCTCCAGGAATACAAAAATAACAATAATAATTGTTCAACTGTAGCGCCCTTTCGGTGCCTAGCTGCCATGCCACCCGAAGGAAGCACGATGGCTGGGATACTGCCAGGTTGTCCAAGCCTAGACAGGGGATGTCGAGAGGCAGAGGTCGGGTTCGGACCACGGACCTTCCGGTCAGTAAATTCGCGCTCTAACCACTTGAGCTATCTCGCCATTCGTCTCCACAAATGCGCCTGAATAGACCAACACTTGCGTGTGGACAGCTGGATTTCAAGGTGTTCAACTGTTGAACCCTTTTTTACCACTGTGCCTTAATAAAATGTAGATATTCTCCAGAAGATGTCTTTGACCTACTGATTGATTTCACTTGAAGGAGACAAGACAAAACCTTTTGGAACAAACCTAAGCACACAGTGCAGAAGAGCTTTCAACAGAATATACTTGAGTACAGTTTGATTCCAGATTTGCTCGTTAGGCTACTATGAACGAATAACCGAATTTCGCTTCATAAACTGACCAGTCTGTGGACGGCTAAAGAATGAATTTCTTACTAGGAAGCACCGGGACTTCCACTTGTTGGACAATTTTCATTTAATCTTTGCAGTTGTGTGCACTACATCCAAAGACGGCTCACCTAGATGTTTTTCTGGGACCAGTGCCTCAAAATTCTATCAAAGACCTTAAGTCTTATGCCTAAAAGAACACCTTGGTGTGTGGTCAATCAATATGTTTTTATAAGGTTGTGAACAATCACTCAGTGGTTAACTAATAGGTTATTCTCGAGCAACCTGCCTCTCAGACGACACCTGTGACACCCGGACAATACCAGCTGCTCTGCCAACTCTTGTGTTCTAAAATCGAATTACCTCACAACATTAGTTGATAACCCCCAGTTTTAAATCTTTCTTTTGAAGCAAGAATACGCCAAACCCACAACTGCAACTCCAAAATGTTTTAGAGGTTCCAATTGGAGTGACAATTGAGTAATTAAAATCGAACGGAGGCCGCAGGTTTTTAAAATCTGTGTTTGAATTTTGGTTGACCAAAAAATTACTCCTCCATCCTGTTTGAGGATGACATCTCTCCTTGAAAGTATACTGAAATCAGAGCATTCGAATTATCTACCAGAATCCGAAAGCACTTGTCCCCAAACAATCTAGCTTGGGGTTCGCTATTGCGTGATTTTTATAGAAGACCACATCGAGGTGAAAGTGAGCATGCACTCTAATGGTGCACGCTTGAAATCCCCTGAGATTACTCACCGCAAAACTGTTTACATATGAATAGTCCCTACATAAAAGCTCTTCAAATCTGAAAGACTGCGATATCTCGAATATCGTGCCAACTGAATCATGAGGCGGTCTGTGTGCAGCACATTCAGTTGAAGGACATCATAAACGAGAGATTCAATTGAGTCTCCCGTGAAAACCAAATTGATTTGCAAATGGGTGTATTTCTCGAAGATGACTTCTAGTTTCTTCCTGGGGGTTGAACCAACCCACCCTGGTAAATGCATTTCACTGCTTTCCAGGGATTTCGTCCAAATCCCCAGACCGTGCTATTTGAAAACGTGGATGACTGATGAATAAACAAACATACGCCACAAAATTGAAGCGAAAAATTCTTTTTAACCATCTTCACGTTGCTGCCCCATCCAAGAAGCTCGTTTCAGATACTCAGTGATAATTTGAGGTAAAGATCCATCGCAACAGACAGGAAGCTCCACTCAGGTGCATGACTTTTGTATCGAAACTTATCACGCCAATTGTGATTTCAGAAATTTCAGCCAAGTTGACATTTGCTAACCATAAAGTCATCATACTTCAGCACAAACCTAACCTTTGGCTGTCCTCGAACAATTCTGACTTGAGAGTTTGAAAATGTGAACTTCTGTCGGTCGCAGAAATGTCTTTATTTTGGGACACCCAGAAAATTATTCAGTTGAATACAAAACGGCTTATTTGTCAGTTCGTAGCAACACAAAAAGCCTGCTTTGAAGCTTGAACCGCGATGCTGAAGAGCGGAATTCCAGCCTGAATAGCGTCGAGCAGGATGAACATCAAAAGTACTAGGTACTCAGTAATGTTCGGTTCGGTAATGAGACCGGTTATGGCTGCGGCATGCAAGTACTAACTCTAACAATGGGGGTTGAGTTGACTAACTTTATCAAGCATGTGAACGTGCGCAGTTTCTCAGCAACAACCGAAAGAAAGAAATTCTAAAAATCGGACCGAGCGACCTCAGTTGAAAAACAGGCTTCCTTTGTTTTCCACGCAAATGTGAACTCAGAACAATGGCAAGGGAAGAGTTAAGGTGAAGGTGAATTTCCGTGCAAACAAATACTTAGTGGTAGACTTTTCGGACAAAAAGTTTGTGCCAGATCAATCGTTTGCCTTTTGGATGTCTGAAATCCCGCCACCCAAAGCGGGATCTCAGTTTTCCTTGGCAGAGAGTGTTCAAGTCAAGGATGGATAACTACCTTTTCTTACCTGCTCCGTCGCGCATTGTCAGTTTGTTTTAAATAGACTGCGACTCACCTGCGACTCACTTGATTACAAGGCAACAAACAGACACAGCTTTGTGGACAGCATGAGAACAGACTGACTGTGATGGCATGATGAAATCTTTGTTGAATTTTACCAAATCGCTTCAAATTAGCGTGATTCAGTAGGCGGGGCGAGTTGGCTCAAGCGGTTAGAGCGCGAATTTACTGACCGGAAGGTCCATGGTTCAAATCCGACCTCTGCCTGTCGACTTCCCCTGTCTAGGCTTGGGAAATCTGGCAGTATCCCAGCCCTCGTGCTTCCTTCCGGTGGCATGGCAGCTAGGCACCGGAAGGGTGTTACAGCTGAACGATTCAGTAGGCAGCTCATAGAACGGATACTATCGCTGAATGTGTGAAGCTTTCCTCTGAGAAGACACTAGTCAAAGCGCCGGTCGACATGTGACCACATGGTGTAGTTTCCATTGTTGAAAAAGTAGGAGTGCTATGTCCGGTCTGATGGAGGGCTAACCGCGCCACTGATCGCTAACTCATGGCCGAAAGGACAAGTGTTCAAACTACTGGCTGGGAAGCTACCAGTTCGAAATTTCTTGTTGAGGTTTTGCTGACTTCCAACAGGGATGAATCAGTTTCACAGAGCCTCTCAGCTTTTTAGCATAGACTGGCTTCACCGAGAGAACAAAATCCATGTTGGATTCGGGAGTATTTGGAAACTTCACAATAGATCTCGCCTAATTGGGGAACCCAGTGGATGCAACAGGCCTGCCTTCTTCATTTACTATAACAATAATGGTACAGCGCAGAATTCGGGAGTATTTGGAAAATTCACAATAGATCTCGCCTCAATGGGGAACCCAGTGGCTGCAACAGGCTTCCTGCCTTCTTTATTTACTATAACAATAATGGTACAGCGCAGCGTTCTCCGACGCAGCCACCAATCAGCGATCGTACCAATCGATTTTCTCTTATAAAACGAAATATTGCAACGCCTAGGTGAGCTTTAGTGCAGTGTCACAAGCTACGGCATCCTGTTCGTCAAACATTTGAGAGAGCAGAGTTACGACACTCACTTTTCTTGGCATCCGCTTAAGTGGCAGTTCTCTACCGACCGCTCTATCATGATTCACGGATGAAAATCTGAGGAACAGCTGCTGGTAAAATGGCTGTATTATGAGGGACAGTGGTTGACCCAAGTCCAGTAAATTACATCAACTTACTTAGTGGATGCAACAATTATCTTCCATGTTTCAAATCACGCTGTAACGACACCAGGTGAACAAATGTGAAAACCAAACTGATTTGCAAATGAGTTTATTTCTCGAAAACAATCCTATTTGGGTTCAAGTAGGGCATAAATTTGACGGACTGCGCCAACCTGATGAGCCCCAAGAAGGGCGAAACCGGTCATGGGCTGTCGAAGAGTTTTCAGCAACCTTGTGAGTAGTTTTGTTCATGAAATTGTATATATTGTTACAGGATAAATTAAGATTGTCATTCGCGCATCGCGGGTACATCAACATCACCTGTCTACTCTGAGAGTGACAAAAAACGGAAACAGCCCACAGTCACGTGAGAATATTTGCGATAAGCTGTCATGGAAATATCAAATCAGCTGTATTTTTCTCAAAAAAAACATAATTCACTGGTACAATCTTTAGTTCAGTCGGACAGGTGATAAAATGTACAGCTGAATGATGAAATAAATGTACAAATCTGTTCGAAACAAAACTCATTTGTCGCGTTCACTGAGATAGACGAAGATTGCCATCACTGATCCAAGAAGGGACACCCAGGCGGCCGAAAGTAGCCACGCACCACTGTACATCTGCACTTCAATGTAGCTAACTCCTGTGCTGATTGCAAAACAGATCACTGCGGAGAAATATGATAACGTAGGATTAGATTCAATCACGATAATCATTGTCATAGATGAACGATCAGTAACATGTCTAAATGTATGAGATTTATAACTTGCGACAGCTAGGGGCACAATTGTATGTATCGTGAAACAAGGTATCATTTTTTGTTACCGAGGCTAAAATAGAAAGTCACTCGATGTGAAATGTAATGTGGAAGATTCTACCTGGAACAATTACTTGTGTAACGGGGGGCACTACTTACGAGGCATGCGAGTAGTATGTGACTTTCACGTAACTCCGCCTCGCGCCTAAAGTAAGGTGCACCCCATGCAGTTTAATACAGAACCTTTGGACCTGCTTTGCGGCGTTCGTTTACAATTGCGTGATACTCGATGAATTTCCACGATATTTCAGGTAGACGCTTGAGGATGTTCGGTTTTTTAAAATAAGTTTCGTATGAGATATTTACTATCCTGTCCAATAGTTTGTAACCATTTCTTTGGCGTTTGCCGTCAAAAGACGACTTCATGGCGAAGAAGTTTCCTCCTCACATTCGTAGCAGTAAATTTCTGAGTTTTTTCCCTCTCCCATGTCGTTATGTTCTTGACTAAATTTGAGATGCCTAATTACCTTGAATTCACTTGACCTGAAACGGACTGAGGCAGCACGATTGGGAACCTAACAATTGTTTCCCGCGTCTTCTGGGATGTAGCGAGGTGAATTCGACTGATCCAGGGTAGCAAATCAGCCCATATCGATATATTCTTCCATAGGAACGACCAATCATCCACTCGTAGGTCTCTTGTTTTACCATGAAAAGTAGTCACTATATTACCAGATTCTCAGTGAATGAGTATTCTTCAATCATAAGCAAACAGATCAAGTATAGTCAACGTCACCAAGATCCTTGTTCGCTAGGCACAGGCTGAGTAACATCCGTGTTTCATCCATCCTGTTGCTATGAGAAAGTCTGTACCCTGGAAGTGCGCACAGGGCCTTTGGGACACATTCGGGCCAAACAGAATGCGAATGTCATAAACAGAAGCAAGTGCTCAATTGAGCTTCTCCGCCAGTATACAAATTTATCTGTTTTTGCAAACAATGCACGAACGATTGAGGGAGGAATAGGGTCGCGTTGGGCCCATTTCAGCTAAGGCAAGGTTGACCCCGAAGAGGGATGTCCGCCGATGAGTATTCTAAGGTTTGATTGCGGCTTCTCGAAGTTACACCGCTGAGAAGCTAGGGGGATTAACTCTAAAGAGGGATGTAAATAAAACCTACGTGATCTGGCCCGTACAACGATTTTAAGGGTTTGTGGACATGAAGTACAAAAGGAATCTAACAAGGTGTGTAACCTGCAGATCCTACGGGATCCGCAGGGGAATTTTCGCATGAAATGGTTATCTATGAAAGTTTGTACAAAGGATTTCCAGTCAGCAGCTTGCCGTAAAAAAACGAGTTGTTCAACAGTAAACAATAGCCTATTTGCAGTCAACTACCATTAAATAGATTCGGTTTCAGAAACGATGATCCATTGTAATCCATTCAAACTGTGGACCATTCACTTCATCCCCAATACGCTCTGCCTCTCAATCTACCTTCATCAGTTCGACAGAACGCGGACGGTCCCTGTACATAGTACGTATGAGCCATAACCTTTTGCTTTCTTTGATTGAACTTGTGAATAGATACTTGAAAACAGTTTTGGCAATGGCCCAAAGGGGCGTGTTGGTCACTCAAAGAAGATGCAATCAATTTTACTGCGGAATTCACTGTTTGATTACTTTACCTGAACAGTAGAAACTTGAGACGGTGGATTTATATATCCACTTGTTCGTTCTGTACAATCAGTGAGGATGTTTCACTCGTGAGCAATTTCAAGCCCACTACGCTGGTCGTTTGTTGCTAAGCCACGTTTGGTGAGAGCCGCCAACTCACCTACCTTCCGGAAGTGTCGTACCAATGCTGACCTTGGGGATACGTCGCTCTCTGCACATGTTCTTTTTATCCTGTCTTGGCGCGTTCAGACACAGGGAGACGAATCAATATATCGGGGAGACGGCAAGCTGGGTGCCTTACATTGGAGACTATCGAAACTGCAAAGGCAACATGATCCGCCCAAAGACCGAATTTTTGTCGTCCTAAAGGATTTGTCTTTTTTATAAAACCGTTGAATTCGCGTCCCTTGTTTAGGTCAATTTAACTCCCATTCTTAAATCTCCCCTCGCTTCTCCAGGTAATATAAATTGGGAACCCTTTGAATAAAGTACAGTCTCGATCTTTTCTAGTTTGATGCAGCAAACATTGGCTAAAAAATCTGTCATACGGCTGAGTTTTGAACCGCAGTTTATCCTGCGCTAATGTCAGCGTTGGCTGGATTCGAATGCCTTCTTAGGGTGTGCCTTATTAGGTGCAAGCCAACCATGTTATGCTTAAACCTCGGGTTCAAAGGTTTCAACCTACGATGGCCATTCACGTCAGCTGCGCATTATCGTTCAGATCACTGACGCCATTGTGCATTGTGTATACTGATAACGAAGATCACAGATTATGGGCTCTGTGCACCAGGATCGTTTATATGCTTGTATTTTTCTGGAATTCCTCGAACTGCTGGGTTTATAACCCCGATTCGTTATGACTCTCTACTGACCAGTTGACAGGAAAACTTTTCAGAGAGTCATCTACATTGCTTTCCAGATCTAATCGGTTTATGCAGGTTCATTACTGTAGTATAGACCACCAAATGTGAGTGTTTTCACTATGTTTCCACTTAGCATGAGGGGCTTCGTGCGGCGAAAAATTGTAGATATGAGGATCACACAAGTACAGGTCAATGGCATTCCGTCGCGTCCTGTAAGATTTGTCGTTTTCTTTAAGTGTGAAAACAATTTACAGCGTGTGTGAATTAGTTTACTTAAGAATTTAGCATAGTAGATTGTTTTTTATGGTCGACAGATCACACTGTTTTAATGCAGGTAAAATACGCTAATCGACAGACTGTTGTTCCACTTGTGTTGAGGCTCTGGGCATTTACGGTTAGAACCTTGGATCCGAGATAGATTAACGGTTATTACACGACCTGCTCACCTGAAAGACAGTGGATTGAACCGAACCTGGTCATCTCGACTAGTCCTGTCTAGGTTTGGGCAAACTGACAGTATCTCAGCTCTCTTGCTTTCTTCAGGTGCCATTGCAGCTGTGCAGCAAAAGTATGTTACAACTGAACGATCATTATCCGTATTAGTTGTAAAGACGGATAAGGACTCACAGACTGGTAAGCAACCCTAGGACGGTAACTTGTCCATTCTAGGCAAGCAACTAACAGCGTAAGGTCTCTTGGATCCCCAGCTATAGGGTTATATAGCAACAAAACATCTCTCACGAGAAGAGTCAGCCTAACGAGTCAAACAAAAATCCGCTTCTCGAAGCCAAACTTACATGAGAACAACACCAGACTCAGTAATACGATTCCGAGGATATGTCTCTTGCTGACGCGGAGGAATAGGACAACCAATACCAAGACAATGGCAGACAGAGATGACACGCAACCAATGATGGTGAAGGCAAGGGCGACGTCCCGGTGCTGTTGGTTGCCCAGGACTGAAAAACAAAAGTAACATTGGGCAGGTAATTTGTACACAAGTTCTCACATATCGTTGGTTTAAAATTCCCCAAACATCTAAAGTTTAAGCAGTGAAAATTCTGATTTAACCGGAGTCTTCGATCCCTTGGAGGTAAGCCGTCAGTATCACCGACGCTTCGATGCCGTACAGTAAGCTCCACACTGATTTTGTCCTTATTTCTGACGTAAAATGATGTAAAATGCTCAGGGAACCCCAGTGGCCTTTTTGAAAAACAGTAGTATGTAGAAAAATACTCAAAACAGCGATTTTTTCGGGATGCAGAGTCACTCAACTACAAGCAATTACGTGGAGGTCCCGGACTTGTAACTACAAACTCGCTATCAAGTGTTTGTCTAAAAATATCAGCAGAAAATATAAGCACGCTGAGATGAAGTTCCTAAAGTTAACGAAGTCTCGCGTTTCACGACGTGCAAATTGATAACACTGAATAAACACAAATTGTCGATTGTTGTTCTTTTGCTTTCTCGGGTACTCTGCTGTGGGTATTTAATATCATACCAGGTCACATTAAGAGCACGATGAGCCCAACTCAACAGTGGTAAACTATTCACGTTTCAGTCGATGGTCTTGAATAGCCGACGCGGTTATTCATTATCCCGTGCACGAAGGATTCCCAGGTAGAACGGAAACTTCCGTCTGCAATCCGAAAGTGGGATGCTGGGTATATTGCATTGAGGTACGGCGTTCGTTCCAAATGATGGAACCAATTATTGTAGATTTCACTCAGCGTATAGTCAGCGCCCTGGTTCAACGTGTCATTTCTTTACCAGTGCATCGATGATTCGTCTAGCTCTGTGAATACTCACCTCGAATATCTCCAGGCTTCCAAGCTCGTGTCATCAAACAGAGGCCATTCTCTTGAAATAAGCAGATACCGAGTGGGGTCTAATAGTCTTTTGCCGTAACAGGATAACAGGAAAGATAGTTTGAAACGAAACGAACTGCAAAATAGTTCCCATTTTTGGTCCATGTCGGTTATAAAAGGCGGCAGGAATTTGGGACATACGTCCTTTGGTCGGTTGCCCGGGATTAAATCAATAAAGTTTATGAACCTTTATCTATCCAATCAACCACCTAACCTAGTGGATTGTGCGTTAATTTTCTATGGTGTTTGGCTGTCTCCGACCGTTCCTCAAACTTTCCAGATGATACGGAAAAAATCTATCCCCCTAAACCACCACTGACTAGGCCAGTCCTTGAGTAGTGTAGAATTGCTTCGTGCCTTCTTATCTTAGTTGATTGTTTTTACTTGATTTCTTAGGTTATTCACTCTGTGAAGTAGTCTCCTTTCATTAGTTAGCATCCTTGTTTGAGATGAAATTTTTTACAGTGCAAGCAGAACAGTCGTCGCTGTTTATGTTGACAAATGCTATGCCGGAAAAGACTGGCACGCAAGGTTTTCTTCCGAGAGGTGTTGAGCCGTAATCGATGGCCGTCTTCCAACGTAGGAAGTGACTTGGTAAGATGTAATCAGCTTATTTAATGTAGCCAGTATTGCAGAAAACTAACAACAGTAGTAGACTGTAGTTTTGTAGACTTTTTTGTTGAGGTAGCCATCGCTAATCTGCATGAGACATTGTGAGAGTAACCCGAGACCTGCTTCTTTAGAGAACATTTTTCGCAAAAATCTGCCTTTTAAAATTCCACAGCACTTATATTTCTCGTCATTCTGTTGAAAGGTGGATATAATTGGCAACAATCGCATCACATCTAAAAGACTGAATTCAGTCAAAGTATCTATCCCTTTGCCTGCATATCGATCAACCAAAGTATGTGCTGTGTATACACGCTGAGTGGGTCACGTGATGCGTGGTGATTACGTCCGAAGCGATTTTCGTTGTCTAGAATAATCAGAGGCATTTGCCTGACTATCAGATTGCGGAATAAAAGTTTCCTTGTGGAACAATGATTACTTTTGCAACGTGAATCATGCTGAACAGGGTTGGATCCATGGTTGAATTTAAATTTCGCGCTACTTTGGATATATATTCATTATCTGTCTATATTTATTTATTATATTTAATGTGTAAGAACGTGCAGCGCTACAATTTCAAACACCATAAATTGCAGTAAACAGATAGAAAAAAGGCAACATTTTGGCACAAAAAACAAAGATTCCTGATGGGTTGCAGTTTGACTCTACGGAATGACTTAAGTTATCCAAGAGTATACACAAGGCATCCATTTTTGCAAGCTATCGAAATTTTTATAGGAACTGTAGATCATAAAGTTGGAAACCAGACTGGAGCAATTCATGTTGGCTCAAAACTTACTGAGCTCGCAAAGAATGTATATCCTATCTTGAAATTCTCGGCTGTCTAGCAGAAGTGGACAAAACAGATTGTGGAAGTTGGCCTAGATTACAGACGTTGAATACATTGCAGTCTTTTATACATAGACGGGTGTTCGTGCATGAGTTACTCAAAGAAAGCAGGGTGACTAATTGCTGTCGTACCCATCTTAAATCAATCTAAGTTTGCCCATGTCTAGCAAACGTTATATAAATTCACATGAATTAGTTTGTTGCTAGAAGAAAAACTAATCGTCAGGATGAGAATTAGAGCCCACAAAAAATATTCAGTTAAGGCTCTGAGTAACCCCTGCAGAGAAAAAGAAGGGTAATTGAAAAGGTTGATGTGCTACCTAACACTAGAATTCTCCAACCTACTACTGTAAAGGTGATACTACTGATGGGGAGGCACGCGAGTAGTAAGTGTTGTTCGTGAAATTTCGCTTTGCGTCTTTTGAAAAGGGGAGATCTGTTGCGGAATTCGTGGAGTCACTTTGTAACATTTTCTCGGGTTTGAGCGAGGAATGATTGGAGTCATTGAATCTCCAGGATAGTTCAAGAACACGTGTTCTGGAGAAGATGGGTGTCCAGTTTTTTTGTAAATAAAATGCAAATTAGAGTTTTGCTTCCCTGTTCAATTGTTTGTAACCGGTCAGTGGGCATTTTCTAATAAATAACTCCGCAGCGAAGGCCTTCTTCCATTCACTAGTACAAGGGACTACTCAAAACCGGCATTAGTAGTAAATCCGTTGTCTATGTTCAAAAAATTAATAACACTTCTGGAGGGAGTGGGAATTTCCGGGCTTTCCACATACCCAAGACAGAATCCTCATGGCCCGAGCAATCGGGAACTCAAAAACGCCACTAAAGTAACCGCGAATGCATTTCCTAATCATGAAGGGGATTAATTGCTAATAATGAAATTACGTGCCTTTGTGTATCTACTTTTGCACAATCAACGAGTGAATTCAGATAGATAGTTCCGGTTTAAGCTACGTATAGTAAGCGAAGATCAGCCTGCACTGAGCACGAGAAAGTTCTGGAGATTCCACCTTCCCCAATAGCGACCGTTCTCCATTGATCCACCTTGTCCATAATATTGGTAAACAAGAGGTAGCTTCGACCTGAAAACAACGTAGGTTACCATTTAGACAACAGCTTTACGCCACGCACAAACTATCTGAGAACAATGCCGGTTTGTTCATTCGCGTTCGCATAGATGGTACAAACAAGGGGACACTTCTTCGCCAAATTAATTTCCCAGGGACGCATATTGTGCAAAACAGCGAATTTACTGTGATTTACAGTGAATTTACTGTAGTTCCTGGGCATTCATCCTCTTCATAATCTGCTCTATGATTTCTGGTAGTGAAATTTCAATGAGGATTAACTAATGCAAGTCTGCTTGCTAAAGCCGTAGGATCTCAAGTTTCACCGTGACCGGTTCTATTGTAGTAGACAGCCTAAATGTATTTTAGTTCCATCTTATCCATCGACATCATCGTCAAAAGCGTGTATGTTGTATTTTACGTCATGGTTCAACGGCGATACTACTGATGGGAGTGAATGCGAGTAGTATGTTTTCTCATAAATCCGCTTTTCGACGCTTGAAAAGTGAGATCTGTTACGGAATTTGTAAAGTCGCCTTGTAGCAGTTGCTTGGATTTTAGCAACAAGCAATGAATATCTAGGAAAGTTCAGGAAGACGCGTTCAAGGAGAAGATGGATATTCAGTTTTCGTAAACATGTTGCATATGAGAGTTTTGCTTCCCTGTCCGCAAGTCTGTAACTGTTCAGTTGGCATTTTCTAACAAATAACTCCGCTTCGAAGACCTCCTTCTTTTCAACGGTATTAGTATTCATCCTAAGGAATTCAACCAAAACATGTGGATGGGATACCACTGTCAGTGAATAGTCAATCTATCTTTTTAAGTGAAGCACACAAATAAATATCATGACATTTACCTGACATTTACCTGACATTTAATTTTCACGTCCAACACTACCGAATTCTGACATTGCAATTTACCGCACTCTGTCATGTCATAAGTTGTCAAGCTGTCAAACTGAACCATTCCGAGGGTGGAAACTGGAGTGGTACAACGCCCGACAGACGATGGTTTGGTTTGTAAAAAATGGCAAAGGTTTTTCCTTTACAGGGCAGCTTTTGCGAAAACATTTGCTAGTTCTTTATACTTAATGATAAGAAGAACTAGTTAGATTACGGAATTATAAAAAAACTGTCGCTGAATATCGCTCAAGGGATCTCTTTCACAGATAATCGAAAGGATATTTATTCCGGCTTCAACAAAAAAATTCATTTGCAAATCAATTTAATTTTCACGAGAGACGCAACTAAATCTCTCCATTGTGATTTTCTCTGACTGGATGTGCTGCACTCAGGCCGCCTCATGATTCATTTGGCACGATATTCGAGATATCGCGATATATTTTCATAAAGGGAACTATTCATAAGGTTGCCGAGAACACCTTGACAGCCCACGACCAGTGTTGCTCTTCTTGGGTCTCATCAGGTAAGCGCAGTC